TTGTTAAAACGTAAACCTTCCCTTGAATTTTTAATGAAAAGTAACCATCCCTAGACTTACAGAGGCCATTTGTTGTTCTCTTATGTTTCACAGAAATCAAAGGGAAAGAAAAAATTACTAAAAAAAAGAAAAGAAAAGAAAGAAATCAACCAATAACAAATGCTGGTGGGACTGTGGGGAAAAAGGAACCCTGCTCCACTGTTAATGAGAGTATAGACTGGTGCAACCACTGTGAAAATTGGTGTGAAGACTTCTCAAAAAACTAAAACTAGAGGTTCCATTTGACCCAGTTATTCCTCTTCTTGGTATCTTCTTAAAAGAATTAAAAGCATCATACCACAGTGATATATGCATACCCATGTTTATAGTGACACAGTTTGTAATAGCTAAATCTTGGAAACAGCCCATGTGCCCATCAACCAATGAATAGATAAAGATGTGGGAGTTTTTATACAATGGAGTACACTCTGCCATTAAGAAGGATAAATGAGACATTTCTAGGTAGATGGATGCACTTAGAGACCATATTCTTAAGTGAAATAAATTGAACACACATGTTCAAATACTGCATAGTTTCTCTGGTGTGAGAAACCAAAAGTGTAAATAAGGACCAAAATGTATAATACATATTGTGAAATAGAAAGAAAATGTTCAAATGGGAAGGTGAACTATGGGGGGGATAGAAGAAAAAAGGAGAAAAAAAGCAAAAAATGGAAACAAAGCTTTTGTAAATGAGGGGAAGCAGGCTTGAAGGGAGGGGAAGGAAATGGGTAAAAAAGAAGAATCAAGATATGTCATGTACAAGTACAAATTCCCTATGATGAATGTGATTATTATGTATATCTAAAATGTACCAATAAAATTAACTTAAAAAGAAAGAATGTTGACATTACTGGAACATATAACAGCTCTGTCTCATCTAGTTAACAATGAGGACAGCAGAGGGTAGTGACTTGGTACAGAATTAGTGTGAAACACAGCCTTCTTAACATGGATATCTCAAAAAATGCACAACAGATTCAATAAAATTCAACATTCACAAATTTTAAAACAATAACAAAAGCCCTTAGCAAACTGAAAGTATAAGAGTATTTTCTTAACTTGATAGAGAATATTTACCAGAAACCTATAGTAAACAATAAGAAATGGTTGAAAGAATATGCATCAGAATAGAAGAATTAAAATTGTGTTTATTTACAGGCAATATGATTATACACGGAAAATGAAAGAGAATTAATAGAAATAAATAAGATTTAGATATAAGCTGGATTTATATAAAGCTCAACTACATCCCCATATACCAATAACCACTAATTAGAAAGTAAATTGAAAGAAAATATTGTAAAGTTGAAGAAATAAATCCAAATCCAATAAAGATATAATGAAAAATGGAATCATTTAAAATATAGAATTTGCTTAAATATATGGAAAGTAGGGCCAGGGATTTAGCTCAGTGGTTCTGGCACCTGCCTCACAAGCACAAGGACCCAAGTTCTATCCCTGGTACCCCCCCAAAAAATATATATATGGAAAGCAATACCAAATTTATGGATGAGATAATAGTCATATAAATCTAAATAATTAACTTTGATTTAATAAAATATCAACAAAACTATAAATCTTCTCCCCCCCCCCGTTTGTGAATTTGGTATAGAAGTTTATAGTAGAATTCCTGCAACATTAGCAAAGACCACGAATAGCAAAGACAATTTACAGAACATCTGGGAGCAGCCTTCCTAGACCAACATGTATTTTAAAGCTTAGTAATTCAGACCACACAGTATTGGCACAGTTTTAACTAAATGGAGTAAGGGAAAGCAAAGGGCCTGGAAATAAGCCCAAGGGTATTATCAATGCAGTATCACAAACCAGTAGTTAGGGATTAACTTTTAATAAGTTGAGCAGTTACTAACAATAGTAAAGAAGATAAAAGCTGCTCTCTGCAAGTAAGGGGGAGAGGATTAGACGGAGGCAGTCTCTGTACTTAGGTTACAGTTTGTTAAATAGGAACTCAGTGCATAATAAAATCAAAACTCAGGGACAGAGAGAGAGAGAGCGAGCGAGCACTAGTGCATAGTTGACCACAAGCCAACTTATCACACCACACCTAAATAAGGCAAATGCCTACCCAGGGCCAATCTGGAAATTTCTCTCCTTTGCTTCCAGGTCTGGCTTGTACAAGCTCATTGCTCTTACTTCTGGGTAACCTCTTTGAACCTCTTCTGGTTCTGAGTTCTTGATTCATGAATTATTCTTTCCTCAAGTAAACTCTTTAGATTTTCTAATTTAAAAAAATATCATATACACAGACTTGGGGGTAGCTCAGTGATAGGGCACTTGCCTAGAATGTGTGAGACCCTCAGAGAAAACCTGGGTACAACCATCAGCACTGAAAAAAAGTGAAAAGAAAATCCTTCCCTAAAATAAATTATATACAAAAATAAATACTGTTATAAAATACCAAAAGTGAAAAATAAAGCCTTAGAAACATTAGAAGAAAACATAAGTAAATATTTTTGTTTGGTTGGTTTTTATTTTTTATAAGTGAATATTGTTGTTCACCATGCTAAGGAAAGATCATGACCAAGACACAAAGATTAAAAGTTTGGAATATATTCAAAATTTAAAATGTTTGTATAATAAAGTACAATGCATTTAAATTAAATATAAGCCCCTCTGAGAGGCTACTTGGAATCATACAGATAAAACATTAATGTACAGATTAAACTTAGAAAATTCATATAATAAGCTATTAATATCCCTAAGAAAGAAAAAAATACTGATAGGTAAATGGACAATGGATTTAAACAAGTAATTCACAGAAGAAACCCAGCTTCAGGCAAAGAGGAAATATTCCTTAGTCTTGACACTGAATTTTAGGTAGGAGGGGGAGAACAAACAAGAAAGGGAAATGACAGTGATGGGTGAGAAATATTCAAGTAACAGGCACTGTAATTCACATTAATCATGGGAGACAGTAAAAGCAACAGGACTGATTAATGGTCAGTTGAAAAAAATTGGGAGAATGAATAGTGTAAATGAAAAATGCAGTGGGAATGAAGAAATGAACAGCTGGCTGTGTTTGGTCAATGATGAGAAAATGAACTCTTAACACTGAAGGTTTCAGAGGTTTGATAAATCATGCTAAGCCCAGAGTTTGTCCATGAAGGTGGTAATTGGAGGGGAGTGAAGATCACTGGACTAGAGAAGGCAAAGGGGTGGTGAAAGAGCCCACCAAATATGGAAATTGCTAGAATGAGAGATTGTTTGGGCGAAAAGTAGTGTCTAAAAACTTGCCATCTTACTTGATCTCAAAAAATTTCATGTCCATTATGAATTAGTAGTGGAAAAAAATAAAGTAAAATCTTTGTCTTTTGTAGATCAAGCTTAGCAAGTAATTTTTTCCTTGTGTATTGACCTCTTAGTTAATACAAGTAGAAAACGGAATTGACACTTAAAAGTCATGGCCCGCTTAAAGACAGGAACATGGCTGAGAATGGCATAGGTTATTTTGTCACTGTGCAGGCATGGTAGAGATCCCTACACAAACTAAGATGGCTATGACAGGATAGGTGATAGAACTTTAAGGGGCCACTGTGGGATGCACGGTTTGTTTTTGACTGAAGCATTGTGTGGTACATGTCTGTATTCTATTTGCCTTGAAAATAGAAAAACCTTTATTTAGATGAGATAGAATATTGGTAGTAATTAGCAGCTGTCATTATAAAATTGGTGAATCTTCATACATTTTCTCTTAAGTTTCTATAAACTGCTTGATTGATCTTTGATCATTTTTTAAATTGTGTCCCTCCTGAAGAAAAATACCTTCACCAAAACATTGCTTCTTTTCCCTTCTCTTATAGCGTGCTTTCAATATGATTAAGTAACTACCCAAGTTTTGGGTTCTTTCTAAATCTTTTCTATGCTTGTTCTTAGCTACTGAGACTTAAAAATCAGTGTTAAACCCTTCTCCGTGGCCCTACATGAACCAGTTCTGTGAATACTGAGTATTTAGAGACTAAAATAATTTGTAGACTTGCTAGTTCTCCTTTAAGATACACTGCCAGTCTTCCTCCACAAGCTATTAGTGTCACCTTATTTAGTTATGTACGTCCCAACAGTTGACAGGCATGATGTACTTAGTGGAACTTTACACTTGATCTTAGCCAAAAGGCCGAGAAGCAATACTTAGTGGAACTTTAAACAGAGCATGGAAGCCTTTAAAAACACTGTGTATCATTGACAGTGGTAGTGTTTATGATTCCTAAGTAACTCTCATAGCAGTGGAGTTCAGAACTAGCAACTGAGACTCAAGGCACTCAGGTTCTGATCCTGGCTTCTCCCAGTTCTGTACCCACCACCAACTCTCTCGGGTTCCCAGCCTTTCAGGTTCCTAAAATCTTCAAAAATAACAGGATTATCTGAATTGTGTCAGTATTGCATTTTTAAGAAACCAAGAGAAATCAATGCAAGTTTCATGAATGTAAAAATATTCACAACCTGACAAACAGGAGACCAAAAGACATATTTAAATTTAATTGGTGCATTAAATGTTACATGGCTCACTCAGCATTCCCAATCTACTTGTTCTTTACCAGCAAGTGGCTGCTTCAGAGCTGGAGCAATGCCTCCTGGCAGGCTATAGCAGTTCACGTGGTGACTTAGGGTTTTTAAAAAGGTGCAGTGTTTTGAAATGTAAAGTAATCACTTTGTGATATGTGAAATAGTCATATGCTGCATAATGGTATTTCTATCAAAGGTGTTTGGGTTAGGGATGGACAACACATACCATGGTAGTTTCATAAGATTATATCATCAAGTAATATTATAGCCACCTTAGTTTGTGTAAATGCTCTCAGTGATGTTAGCATAAGGGTGAACTATGCCTATTGACAGTATTTCTCAGAATTCCTGTTACTAAGGTAGTCATGAGTGTGTATAAGTAACAATTAATACGGAGCTACTGTTTAACTTAATTACATATGGTCTTTCTAATTTAGATCTTGAATGTCCCTCAAAGGCTGATAAGTTAAAGGCTTGGACACCTGCCTGTGCGCGAGAGAGGTGGTGGAAACTTCAGAACTGGCACTCAGTGGGAGAGAGGTAGGTCAGCAGGAGGTGTGCCCTTTAAGGGGATATCTACCCTCCTTCCTGTCTCTTTTTTCGCTTCCTGGCTTCCCTCAGATAAACAGGGCTTCTCCACCATGCATTACCATCGTGGTGTACTGTTTCTCACAAGGACAAACCAACTGGGGCAAGTGACCATAGATAAAACCATGAGCCAAAAACAAAACTTTTTTCCTTGTAAGTTTATCTCAGATATCTGTTACAGCAATGGAAAGCTGACTAACATAGTTCATAAGTAAGAAAAAGCAGAATTTGGTTGATTTTTCTCTAAATGAAATTAAAACAATATATTAAAGAGAATTGCATTCATGTTTATGATTTAATCTGTGTCTAATCCTTATTATTAAGAACTCATAATCCCAACTTTCTTTGAGAAAGTGAAAAATCTAGGTTGTTTTGGTAAGTTTTTATGTAGTATTATTCAGATTTATTACAATTAACCTGTTTCCTAAAGCAAGTAATAGGGGAGGGCTAATTTCTAAAGGGCTGCATAAATTTCAGAGATCTTATAAGTTAGGAAGTTTGGGATTTTACTCTTAGATACTCTTAGATAGATTTCCAAGCATGGGAATTCTCAATAGCTTTTTTTTTTTTTTTAATTCTTCTATTCGTACATTTTAGGTATACAATTTCATTTATCATTGGGTGTTTGTACCTGTACATGATGTATTTTGGTTTTTATTTTTTTCCCCATTACCTGTGCACCCTTCACCCCCTCCACCCTTCCCTATTTACATAGATTTCATTTCCATTTTTTAAATTTTCTCATAATTTTTCCTTTCCCTTCTTTCCCTCCCCCTTCCCCTCCCACCACCCCTACACCTTTGGACCTTTTCCTATTTCAAATTATCAATTATTCATTTTAATCATTTTATTCCTTATTTACACTTTCAGTTTCTCACACTAGTGAAACTATTTGGTATTTACACATGAGTGTCCTATTTATTTCACTTAAGAGTATGGTCTCAATGTGCATCCATTTAGCTATAAATGTCTCTAGGTTCTTGATCTTTATGGCTGAGTAGTACTCCATTTTATATGAAAAAAGCACATCTTCTTTATCCAGTTTCCAGTTGATGGGCAGTTGGGCTGTTTCCAAGGTTTCTTTCTTATGGAAGCATCAGCATTTGCTGAAGAAAGAACAATGGATATTTCAAGGACTGTTTCTCTCTCTCTCTCTCTCTCCCCCCCCTCTGTCTCTCCCTCTCTCTCTCTGTTTCTCTGTCTCTGTCTCCCTCTGTCTCTGTCTCTGTCTCCCCCACCCCTTTTTCTTTCATTCTCAGCACAGGGCCTCAAAGCCAGGGCACTCTACCATTGAGCTACATCCCTATCCGTTTTTATTTTGAGACAAGGTCTTATTAGGTTGCCCCGGCTGTGCTTGAATTTACAGACTTTTTGCCTCAGCATTGAGAGTGGCTGGGATTAGAGATGTCCCTGCACCTGTTTTGTTAGTTCATTTCTGAATGACCAACTAGGCAGGGAGAAATATGTTAAACATGGCTGTAATGTTCAAACTGCTTGTTACACATTCTAGAATCTTGCACTTGAGTCTGCTTACATTTTACATTTTGAGACATGAAAATAATGAACCCCCAAAGAAAATATTATTCCAGTTTTGATTCTATTCTAGTTTAGATTTCAGATTAGATTGATTTCTGCTTTAGATTGATAGGATTTATGTATAAATGTATACTGGTGTATAAAATCAGTACATGCCACTGCTTAATACGTTTGCTTACGTGGGATCAAAATGCATACTTTGTCTCATTCTGCCTTGAAAAACACATCATAAATCAAATTTGTTTTACTATACAACATAAATAAAAGTTTGTTGAATCTAATTGTTAGCATTTAGGGAAAATTTTAATTTATCTAAAAGCAAAAATCCAACAATTACTGGAACAGATTATGAGCAAGAAGCACTTTGTATCCTCTCTAGTGTCTTAATTCTACTGGCACTCAAGAAATATGTTGTATGAATGAATTTTCTCCTGCTGTCTCATTATGTTATTAATATACACCCAAAAGTGAGGAATACAGGGGAAATAGAACTTTATTTTCCCCGAGAATCATCTTTAAATTACTCATCTATGAAAGCCAAATAAAGTGATAGCTTAGAGGTTTTGTGGGTGTGACATATGAAGTTCCCTCCTTCTCTTCCCTAACTCTGTAACTTTCATTCCATATCTCTGCTTTAATTCTAGTTGACATATTGGACATCAGTGTAAGAATGTGTTTAGACAAAGGATTGGTTTAATAATCAGAAGTACTTTGAGGCATTCTCCTGTTAATGCACAAATCCAGGCACATGGCAGAGATCAGCAAGGAAGATTTCCATTCTAATCCAAGTGCATCTTTTAATCATTCACTCACATCAGAGAATTTCACTCAGAGTCTGTCTCCTGAGACTATGCTTTCTTGCCAATTAAACCCTAAATGGTAAGCCTGTTTGTATATTTTGGTTACCCTGGGGAGAAAAATATCCCATGTGAGCAAATGTATCGTTATTAGTCCAGGCTGAGATATGGAGATGCACATGCCCTCCATTACCCAAATCTGGCTTTGTATTTCCAGTACTCTGTGTGACTCTTGGGTTTAATAATATAGTCATGTTCCTAGGGATCACAAATACTAAGGATATAGCATAAGCATTTTTCAAAGAATGTGATTAATTTCAAATTTTGTGCATTTATTTTTGCCAGAAAATTTTTGGCTCATCCAGTTCTTGGCATTCACCTGCAGGATTTTGGCAGATAATGCCATTTTCTATCCAAAGAAGAGATAGTTTCTACTTCTGACTATGTATAATTTGAAAATCTAAGACTTAATTATTTACCTTCTAATGTAAAAAAGCATTTTCTCTCTTAGGACTTTAATCAAATGGGGACAGTGATAGTAGAGTAGCAATGGACTACCCTCTGACTTTATGGTAACAACATAGATTTTTTATAAAGCTACATAAAATTTGGTTTCTTATTTCCATTTTTATAAATTGTATTCCTTTTATATGTCTTCTTTGTGAGTGTATCACAATTCATATTTGTGACATAATATTTTATATTAAATTGGAAAGTTGCTGGGTGTGGTGGTGTACACCTGTAAAATTCCAGCATTCTGGGAGGCTATGGCAGACAAAACAAAAGTTTGAGCCCAGCCTGGGCCACTTAGAGACTTACCGAGACTCTGTCTCAAAATTTAAAAAGAACTGGGAGTATAACTCGGTGTGAAGGCCCTGGGTCCAGCCCCCAGTACTAGAAGAAAAAAAAGGAAATGCTTTAAAGTCATGGTTTTAATTTTTTAAATTTTCCTATTTTAAGTTGCTAGATGCAGAAAAGAACCCAGTATAGCTGTTCAGAATTGCGTTTGCCTTAGCTAAATAAAGGGGTCATTTTTCTCTCATCAAGTATCTCAAGTAGGGTAGCCCAAGAGTGTAGTGGCTCCCTCATGTCCCTGAATCCCCAACCTCTCTCTAGTTTGTGGTTCCACATTTAGGGTGAGAACCATGATCTCTGTTCTAAAGAAAGCTCTAACATCATCGATTTTTTAAAAAATTAATTTTATTGGTACATTTTATTGGTACATTTTAAGTATACAATTCGTTTACATTTATCATTGGTTGTTTGTACTTGTACATGATATATCTTGGTTCTTATTTTTTTCCCCATTACCTGTGCGCCCTTCACCCCCTCCACCCTTCCCTATTTACATAGACTTTGTTTCCATTTTTAAAAAATTTTCTCATAGTTTTTCCTTTCCCTCTTTTCCTTTCCCCTTCCCCTCCCTTCACTCCTTCATCTTTGGACTTTTTTCCTATTTCAA